GATCATTGTGGAACAATCAATTGAATGGAATTCATCACTCTATATCAACTTCATTGACTACGAGAAAGCATTTGATAGCGTAGACAGAACAACCCTATGGAAGCTTCTTTGACACTACGACGTGACTCAGAAGATAGTCAATATCATACAGAATTACTATGATGGATTAAACTGCAAAACCGTGCATGGAGGACAGTTGAAAAAGTCGTTCGAAGTAAAGACCGGTGTCAGGCAAGGTTGCTTACTCTCACCCTTTCTCTTTCTCCTGGTGATCGACTGGATCATGAAGACATCAACATCTGAAGGAAAGCACGGGATACAGTGGATAGCTAGGATGCGATTGGATGATCTAGACTTCGCAGATGATCTGGCTCTTCTATCGCATACGCAACAACAAATGCAGGAGAAGACAACCAGTGTAGCTGCAGCCTCAGCAGCAGTAGGTCTCAATATACACAAACGAAAAAGCAATATTCTCTGATACAACACAGCATGTACCAATCCAATCACAATTGACGGAGAAGCTTTGGAAGATGTAAAAACCTTTACATATTTGGGCAGTATCATCGATGAACACGGTGGATCTGATGCAGATGTGAAGGCACGGATTGGCAAAGCAAGAGCAGCATATTTACAACTGAAGAATATCTGGAACTCAAAACAATTGACAACCAACACCAAAGTCAGAATTTTCAATACAAATGTCAAGACAGTTCTACTGTATGGGGCGGAAACCTGGAGAACTATGAATGTCATCATCCAGCTGATACAAGTGTTTATTAACAGTTGTCTACGCAAAATACATCAGATCCGTTGACCAGACACTATCAGCAACAACCTTCTATGGGAGAGAACAAACCAGATTCCAATGGAGGAAGAAATCAGGAAGAAGCGCTGGAAGTGAATAGGACACACATTGAAGTATGCATCCAAATGCGTCACAAGACAAGTACCCACATGGAATCCTCAAAGTCGAAGGAGGAGAGGAAGACCAAAGAACACATTACGCCGAGAAATGGAGATAGATATGAGAAAAATGAACAAGAACTGGATGGAACTAGAAAAGAATGCCCAGGACAGAATGGGTTGGAGAATGCTGGTCGGTGGCCTCTGCTCCATTGGGAGTAACAGGCGTAAGTAAGTAAGTAAGTATGTAATAATGATGACATATGATATGTTACAAAACATGCATCAGGCATATTCTGTCCAAACGGTGGATGGTTATCCACGAATAATTACGTATTTGTCAAGTCTTCACTCCACAGAGCTAATTTATCTAGTGGATAGGTATTAAGCATTAAAAACAGCAATGGATACAAAGATTAACCCTCACTAAACCCGGTGCGAATCGTCAAGTACTCTGGGTAGTTTCGGAGCCAGAATAAAAAAGCGACAGTGAAACCAATCTTCGCAACCTTTGTATTGACAAGTGAGGTACTGTTTGAAAAGCTGTTGATATGATTCTTGGTCTTATATTTGTCCATAATTTTTCTGACTAGTTGATAAATTGGATCGATTTCAATATGTTTGTTGACTGTTGGTTGATCTTAGTGCCAAGCTTCTAAAAATTCTCTAGTGCTTTTAGTATTCCCCTATCTAACATCTCGGAATTTTCTCAGTCGAATGTGTGTCCGCACTTGTCCACATGAATTGATGTAAGTGAGGTTATGTCATGGCGTTTGACTTATAATTTATATTTATGCTGGCGAAGATGAAGGGGGCATTAACTTTGTCCGACATAGTGTTTTAGAATTTAGAACAATTTTTTTGTGGATGATTTTCGGTTTTCCTTCCTTTTTCATTTCGTCCTTTGATTTACATAGGTTTGGTCGAAGTGATTTTGTTGGTATGTATGCCACACTTACTCCAAAAGGCTTCAACAATCTCACTGTAATTTCCAAGATGCCTTTTATATGTCGTAGGGTGATCCGTTTATTGATTTCTACACTTGATTTTGTTTCTGCTGATGCGTTTGGTTTGTATTCTTTGATGAGATTGATTGGGTAGACGTTCTTTTGAAAGATAGTCTTCAGATATTTATTTTCATTTGTCCGCGCTGCAAGTGTGTTGCAGTGTGTTTTTGCCTTCTTGAATAAAGTTAGTACGTATTTGATTTTGTGAGTTCTTGGGTTGTTGCTACTGTGATTAAGGATTTGATCTATGTGGGTTGGCTTCAGATAAACTTGATTCTTCAGTTTTCCTGTACCTATACTGGTGATTAATACATCCAAGAATGTTATTTTGTTGTTTGATTCCTGGTCCGTTGTGAACATTATGTCATCGAAGATGTTATTGATCAGATTGTAGGTGTTTTCATGTTTGTCCTTTTTGACGATGACGAATTTGTTGTCTACAAAATGAATTTAAATTTTTGGCCTAATCGGTGTTAAGATCGGGGTTTTTTAGTCACCGCATCACTGCTTCTGCAATAAACCCTGATATTGGTGATCCAATTTGTGTTCCTTCCATTTGTTCGTAGATTGAAAATATGTTGTTGAGTACAAATCGATGAGTTAACTTTGAAGCTTCGTGTACTTTAGAAGATTTGTGTCTTTGGTGATATGAAAGAATACGGTTTCCTTTATTATGCTTGGTTCAGTTAAAGTGAATAAGGCTGCTATATCAAAGGGTATCATCAGTTCGTTGTTGTTAACTTGAATTTCCTTAATTTTACCCAGGAATTGTAAAAGAGATTTGATCATAGCGAAATGTTCAGGAAAGGGCCTGACAGCCCTTATGGGAGACCCAAACGGCAAAGTTGCAATGGACAACAACGGTTATGAAGATATTATGGAAATACATGAACTAGGAGAGGGTAAGGAAAATGTGGAGGTATTTACAAACTTATGTGCATTCAAGAAATTGTTTATCGGTAGCACAATATTCTTACACAAACGCATGCACAAATTTACGTGAATCTCATCGGAGAACCAGATCGACCATATTTGTATGGATAAAAAATTCATAAAGACAATGGGAGATGTGAGAATCTGGATGGGAGTTGACATAGCTTCAGATCACCAACTGGTCGCTGCCAAGATGAAATTGAAGCTAGAGAAGCATCGGACAACCAAGGAAATATCATTACAATTGATCAATACAGTCTTCCTTCCAGATACTGACAAACTCAATGAATTGAAGATAACAGCAAGCAACATTTTACAATCCTTACAAGATCTACTCAACGAAGTGAAAACTACGATGGTTGAGAACTAGAAAAGGACCAAGAAGTACTAACTTCAAATTGTCAGGTCAGCAATAAGTATCATGATAAGGAATGGACTTCAATCGAAACCGTGGACAAGATTCAAGAAGGGATTAACGAGAATATAAAAGCTACCGACAGCAGAACAGGAACAGGGAAATTCAAGGAGGGTTTTAGAGCCAACAAGTTTAAATACTTGAAAAACCTAGCAAGGAGAGAGAAAAAAGCTGCGAGAGAAAGAAATATGAAACAACTACATGACACAACGAAAAAACTGACTGAAATATAGTAAAACGGAGAGACTGGTTTGGGACAGAGCAGGGAAATCAATCACTGAAATTCAAGTACAGCGGAACAGATATACAGGACTCCTTATGAAACACTTGAGTAGATCAGCTCCATCAAATCCACCGAACAACAAAGCCACACACATAAACGTTTCTACAGATGTCACTACACCAACGATCGAAGAAATCAGGGTGTTCATCAGACAAATCTAGTGTGATAAATCAGCTGAACCTGACAATATACCATTCGAAGCACCAAAGTCGGACATAGAAGTAATAGCAAGTGTGCTTCACGTTCTATTCAGTAAGATTTTTGAGGAAATACAAGTTACGACGGACTGAAAAGTAGGATACATCATCAAGACACCAAAGATATGAGAGAATTTGAAAAATGCACAGCCATCGAAATACTATCTATACAGCATTGTCACAGCGAATATGAACCCAGCCACTGCAGAAGTTACATTCAAATGATGAGTCACTGGTTTTAACGAGCGATATGAAGGGAATCAACTCCTTTCCATGAAACGATTCACTCAATTCTACTGATTCATAAGCTCTACATTCAATACGTTCCTCGTGGCTGCAGTTTAGTATACACAAGACCATTAATAATAACAGTACACCCAGGAATAACTGAAATTTTCACAATTATAACATGGAGTGGGTGCTATCAAAAACGCGCTAAATAAAATTACCATGAAAATCAAATGGAATAGAACAAACTGTCTAAATTACATGAATAATAATAATGATAATTTATTTTCAAATAACCGTCTATTTCTTGAGGCATGCCAGTTTACAAGCAAGATCAAGTTATTACAGAAGATAGAGTCTTCACTATGGTGGGTCACTCAGTTAGTTTGGTTTTTGATAAAGTACATTGGTCATAAAACTATGTGGGATAATATTTCTGACATATGAATGCAAAAAACATTAGTAAGATCTTTATTGCCAATCTGACAGTTGGTGTGCTTCATGGGGGTTGCGTTGCGACGTGCAACTGACAGTTGAGAATAAATCTACGTAAATTTGAGAGCTTCTATAAGCTGTGACAACGCATCCCTCAAGAACCCTTCATAGTGAGAGATGTATAGACTAATTTTGCCCATCACTTCTACTCCTGGCTCTGAAAATACCCTAAAGATTGACCTTTTCACCCTGAGAATTTGATCCATTGAGAAATCTAAATATATCATTCTAGGACCCATTTTCTTCTTAGTTTTCATAAAAGATCTTAAATGGATTGGTTGACGTCGATGAAGTAAAAATTTGGAAGCGCGTTATAAGCATAAAGGTTCCACTTGAGCTTCACTGGTACCCCATGTCACCAAAGACGTTGGCAGACTATCAAGACCGGGAATATTGAAGACCTCTGGGCTTATTTAAGCACCAGGATGCAAGACAAGAGATATGAGCTACTTTACGCTAGTGAATAGAGTTGCGAAACTCCTGAAATTTGTATTTTCAGACAACTGATATAAGTTTTGATGCAACCCAGGTGTAATATGCGATGTGGTTCATGTACTTTTGCTGCCATACTAGTTGACAGACGAACTGTTATTGGAAAAATCATAAAGGATCGAGATGGAGAAGTCGCATGTCAAGAGGACTGTATCTTCTACGAAAGGTTGTTTCCAACTACCGTACAGTATTGTCGGCAAACCTAAAAAGGCGATAGCACTCCAGAATTCTAAACTAATAAACGTATGAAATAATACAAGTGTTATTATTACTTCACTTGAGCTACAGGATTTTGTTAACTGGAATTGAGATTCTACAAGCCCCTCGACTATTCTTTTTAAGCCTACAAACCAATTTCAAATAAATCATGCATTGCAATGCATAGTGTAGAATACTTTGCATTTACACGTATATAGTTATACACGTTCAGTATTCCCAAATAAAATGCTACAGTTATTTATGAAACCGATGGAGCGTTTAATTTTGAAATAGGAATATGAAGAATAAAATACATCTGATCTCAAAACATTCAGCTCACCAAATGCAGGTTATATATTAAATAATAAGCTCTTGTATTGTTCTACCGTAGAAAATAAATATCCTCGAGCGTACACAACCTTACTGATATAATGTTCAGTTATCAGACAAGGAATTTTGATCTCGTTACATAACTTCACCTCATAACATCTTAGAACTCAAACGCTTAACTTAATTACACAACGTGCATTTTCAAGCGTCTCACCTCGATCTTCAGGGTTAGATAGAATCCAACCACTTAATTAAGGGAGTCGCAGGTTAGTTTCCACACTCCATATTTAAGCTCTTTTCGGGGATTAATTCTACTGGATGTCGAAGAAGTTGATATACTGGAACTTATACCTTGTCCGATTGCTTCAAAACCTTACTAGTTAACCAACTTCATTGTCATAGATGAATATAAGTGAATAATGTGTTACAGATCACAGAATCAAAAAATAAAAAGAAGGTGAAAATTAATTGTTAAAATTTATTTGACACCTCCTTACAACTCAGTTTTTACTATCCTGTGATTGTACCGCATACCGTGATTGTGTCCACTTGCGTCCCTGTTTTTTAGACAACACGATTCATAGTGATTACATTTGTTTCTGGTATTCCTAAAAACATCGGCATCAGACATAGAACAAAGACTTACTTTAAGTAATCCTGAGCATACGAACTTGTTCTTTGTTTGTCTGTTCGTTAAGAGTATTAAATATTTTAAACGTTGATGGTGTGTTCATTTTACAGTCTCTTATTTTGATTGGCTTCTAGAGTGTGTACTAAATAGACCTTCATAAAGTGTTATGATGTGCAATGTTCGAAATTGATACCGCTAGACAAACTTCGTGTTGGCAGGTACAAACTTCTATCTGAAGTTTGTGCTGATGATGTCGTCCAGAAGAACAATGAATGCTCCACGACCAAACCATCCAGCTAAGAAAACGAAAGTCCATCAAAATCATCTGTCTCAGCTACAAATCTTCTCAACCATCTCAGGCACACAACTATCTGCCAAATGAGAAGACTAAAAGTAAAAAGGATGTTTATTGAGCTAAACTGAATCACATGATCAAGTTTTCATTAGTACATATGTTTATGTACATTCCTTAAAAAATGGAACAATTTCTCGGTCAAGAATATGCACTTGCACAACTCAACCTCATTTGGAGCTTTTTTATCGGCTCATTTTACCACAAGCCTTATTTAGACTTTTGATTTAACTGTGGTAATCGTAAGTAACTTAAGAGTGTTCTCAAGTCAAACATCGTCTAACGGCTATATTATTATATAATTACGAAATTACTAGCCGCCAGTGTTAGTTAAGGGTCGCCTGACTTGAATGATATATCAATCAGATTGGTATAAGGCACTCCAGTCACCTCTGTTATAATTATTTGTTGACTACCTAATGATTGATCTCTTTACTCAAACACTTCCCAAAATTTGACAGGAGACACAAGACCACAAAGTAACATTTAATCTCCAAGATGACTTATGTTGTATGAGAAAATGACTCAACAGATATTTGACCCTTTCTAGAAGTGAATAATAATGGTGCGTCGATAATAAACAATCTGAATGAATTGACTATGATATCTTATACACAGAAAAGTCCGACGTAATAAGCCTTACGATACTTTTCATATTTCTTCAAACTGAAATTCTGGTGCCAAAGAAAACGAATAATAACACGGCTTCTACAGAGGTTTTAATAGACTGAACTTTTAGATATTTAAAGCTGATTTCAATGTTTATGCACTCCTGATAGTTTAAGAACGAGTTTAAAAAAATGACAAATTAAAGGAACATATGTTAAAAATTGACTCTTATCATCTAACCTAAGTGCATTAAACTTGGAACCTTTTGTTGGGATATTCAGAAAAATATCCCAAATTTGTCCTGTTAAGTCAAATGCTATCCCTGAATGTCATTCCCCTATTGGTCAATATTTATTTCACGTGTCATTTTCCTGTTGATCAACATTCACGGTAGTCCTAACTGTATAAATATGCACTTTTCTGTATAGTATTATTATTCTTCTTCTCCTGACCCCATAAACAACTTTCATTTGACTGTTCGTGTTCTGATATATTGGAGATTGAGGAACAGTATTGGGGTCGTACTGGGATGTCTGCACTTGGTCGATCTGTAGAATTTAGAGTAGTCGCCACGCGAACCACAATACCTTTGTAATTCAGAAGAACTAGAGGAGATATGTTGATCCGACTCATTCACACTCACAACGTGTAACCTAACTATCCGTGGAATAGTAAAAGCACTAAGAGCATAGGCGATACATTTCACGTCTGAACTACGGAAGACGATTCGGCTTTATCTGAGAATGCAGAAAAGTGTACATGTAAATAAATACTAACTTTCTGGTTGCAAAGTTTTACACCACGAAATTCGTTATATTAGACATAGCAATAGGATAATGTGACATTTTTCTGTCATCAGTCTTTCAATTGTAACAGCAATAACTTTTCGACAATAACATTGACCGCATTAGTTGTGATGGATTAATCTAGCCGGAGGCTCTTGGTCACGCGTAAGCACCAGATCACTAGTGGGTATACCGTGCTACCCATCATTTACAGCTTAGACCAAACGCTTCTCGACTTATCGAAAAACTTCCAAATATATATTTGAACCCTGTCATTTCTGACTTCTTGTTTGACTGGGTTGGTACACTTCCTTGTAGAAGTGTTATGTGTAAAGGCTGTAGTGTCTGTTATTATGTTAAGCCCATATACCATATTCTAGCTTCCGGACAGCCTATTCTATTCATTCTAGTTGAGTCATATTTTGACCTTGTTAATTATTCGCTTATCAATCTTGACTGTTTTTATATGAGCGCGTAGGTGTATGTTCACTTCTTATCCTATTCATCACATGTCTGTAACTTGGTTTTGTGGGTCTATAAATATTGATTAACGCTTGGTTAAAATGGGAGTTGGCTTACCAGCCAACTTCACCGCGTGTCATTCTTTGCTTCGCTTTCTTCTCTTCCCATCGTTCCTCCGTTCGTTTGTCTAATCAACAATTATACAAAATATATGCATTCAAAACTCCATTCTCGTTATTTGACTTATTTAATTCCGTTATTAACTAACGCGATTCAAGTCAATGATTATATACGAGGATAGACGATAGCAATCATATCACGATCGAATTGGAGTCAGATCACGGGTCACTAAAAGGCGCTGTCAAACTCTGAATACCTGTGTCATTTTTACACTTTAATTTGTTATTTATTATGGACTCATATTTTTAGGTATAATGATATAATGACTGAATTTATATATCACCAATATCTCTCTGCTACAGCCAAGATGGGGGGTTTAGGTACCTAAAAGTTGTATTTTTCCTTAAAAGCTTTAGGTTTGATGGGAAACGGCGGCAGCTAAACTTGGCGGTACTGTGCGAGAACATCTGGCAACATACGCTTCATTAGTGAAAGTATGTTTGGTATATGTCTGTAATGAATCTTTACCGGTTGCTTATCTGTAGTGCTGTCCTCTTTGTCTTGTTGAACTCCGTAGAAGGCTGGCTTGATTCTATTCATAGAGATAGTCTCCTCTCCACACATGTTGATGAAGTGTTTGTTTGTTCGTTTAGTTACTTGGTACGGTCCTTTGTAAGGTTGCTTCGAAGGCTTTAAACGCCACCGACCTGAAAAAAGGCAAATTTAGACGTTTCCAGGCGTTCGTTAAGTTATGCGCGATTATTATCGTCACGCGGCGGTATTGCTTTGATATTTAAATATCAAATTTGCATCGTTTGCAGTAGAAGACTCACAAAATGATTTGGATCAGGTGGTATCATTGTGTCTGAGTCTACTAGTTGACATGGTAGTGTTGAAGTTGTACCGTAAACTAGTTTGGCAGATGTGCAACCAATATCCTTTATAATTGAACGAATTCTCAGCATTACGAGTGGTAGTGCGTCACTCAACTTTGATGTATAAGCTTGTGCCATAAAAGAGCCTATCAATTGGCAATACATTCTTTTGACCGAACCGTTAGCTAACGGATGGGAGGCTTTTCTGTTGATATGGTTCACACCCAGAAGTTTGGTAAATTCTTGGAATAGGATGGATTAAAACTTGGGACCACGGTATGTAGTAACGATTCAAGGTACTCTATAATTTGATATCCACCGATCAAGGAATACAGCTGCAGCTGTCTCTGAGGATGTATCTATGATAGGGCATGCTATCGCTCATCCTGTAAATCTGTCCACCGCGGTAAGAATATACGTGGAAGAGTTTGATGGTGGCAGGGGAACAACTATGTCTAGATGAATATGTTGAAAGCGTTTATCAGGCAATGAAAACTTCCCAAGAGGACTAATTGTGTGGCTTTAAACTTTGCTGCGTTGTAATTGTAAACGATTTCTGGTCCATCGCTTTATATTTGCGTTCATTTTTACCAAACAAATCTTTCCGCGACCAGTCTCACAGTAACACGGATTCCTGGATGAGTGAAGACAATCAAAAACTTTTCTGTACACTATTCACAAAAATGGTCTGTGTGTTCCAGTCGAAGTATCACAAATTAGAGTCAGAATGTAGTATTGGAACACTTTTTAACAACAGACTCGGACTTTGCTTACAAGCAACAAGATCAGAATCATCCGTCTGTAAACGTGCAATGTCCAATAAATCGATCGCGTTAGTGAAGCAAATTGCATTGACGTTGAAACATGATAGAGTATCTGCAACAACATCTGACTCACCTTTTATAAACTGTATATTGGTCGAAAATTGGGGAATATAATCTAGTTGTCGAATGTCTTCAGGTGAATAACGACCGCTTTTAGCGTTAAGGGCGTAAGTTAGAGGTTTGTGATCAACAAACATCACGCAATCTCTACCTTGCAGTAAGTGTTTAAAATGTTTAACAGCTAGGTAAATAGCCAATAATTCTCTACCAAAAGTACTATATCGAGTTTGAGTTGGTTTTGGCTTCTTCGGAAAGAAAGCTAGTGGTTTGACTTCATTATTTACTCGCTGTTGTAGTACCGCCCCTACTGCTGCCTGAGATGCATCTGTATACAGAATAAGTGTTGCTTCCGGGTCAGGACTTAAGTAGGTCAGCATGGTAGTAGAAGCGATTGCTGTTTCAGCTGCAGGAAAGGCATCTTTCGCTTTGGAGGATAATGCGAACTTTTTGACTTTGCCTTTTAACACCTCCGTTAAAGGTTGTAGAATGGCTGAGCAGTGCGGAATAAACTGACGTTGTAAATTATTCATCCATAAGAAACGTCGAAGTTTATTCCGTGAATCTGGTTTTGGAAAACTTTTGATGGCTGCAATTTTTGTGTCTAACGGTTCGATTCCACATTTGTCAATCGAGTGATCTAAGAACTCTAAACTCTCGACTCCAAAGATGCATTTGGATGGATAAATAACTATATCATATCTCTGGAATCTTTCGAATAGTTGATGTCATTTATTTATTTATTTGAACACAAATATCGATACAAGGGGCACCAGATATATATGCACCACACAAAACAATAATAATGGGAAGAGAAAAAGAATGTAAGGTGCGTATAAGAAAAGAAAGAATAATAACGACCACAGATTCGTGTGTTGTAGTAATCACTAGGCATTAAGTGGGTTAAAATCTACCTTTATTTAGTTATTAAAAATCTCATAATTTGGAAAAATGACAAAATTGAGAGATTTAGTGTGGTTTCTACTTTTAAATTGAAAATGGAAAAATAGGAGTGATGCGTATATAACCATGTGGCATGATTTGTATATCTGTAGAATTAACCGAAAAGCCTTCAATAGTCAAGTCATAGTATTCATCAGTGAAATTACAAAGCAATTTGCTCTAGCTGATATTTTAATCTCAACTTTCGTTTAACACCTAACGAGTGATCAAACAAACATTTATGTGAAGCAAGTATACATGTGAGGTCAAATAGCATAAGGCCAATTTCCAGATCCATGTTTGTTGTTTTCTAACCGATTTTCTATTAACAGGTTTTGTCGGATTCATGGAGTTATTATACCATGAGGATATCCCTATCGATCTAATTACAGAACAACTTATTGGATGTACATGTGAAAATATCTGCCGTCTAGAAAATAATTGTACTTGCTTATCAAAGTCTGGAATGTCATATGATATGAATGGTTTACTGACTAATTTTATGAATCCAGTTTTTGAATGCAACAGTGAATGTGTTTGTAGTCAATCATGCACTAATCGAGTCGTTCAAAGATATTTAAACGATGCTGAGTTTACATTTGAATCTGAGTACCATACGAAAACCTATGTAACTAATCATCCGGTTATGGGTAGAGGTTTAAAAGCCGCTTGCGAAATCCAACGTGGGGAACTTGTTTGTGTTTATTTGGGCGAAGTAATTCCATATAAAGAAGCTTGTCTAAGAGAAGCCCTTCAACTTTCATGTTATGGTCGCAATTTTATCATGATAATGCGTGAGTATAGCGACCATCGTCTTGTGTCAGAGACATGTGTTGACGGGAATTCCGAATCGTGGGGTTCAGTAAAATCGAAAGCACGCCTAATTAACCATTCTTGTACACCTAACCTAACAGTAGTTCCTGTTCGAGTTGATAGTTTCATTCCCTATTTAGCATTATTTGCTAACAAAGTTATCTTTGAGGGTACACCACTGTCATACGATTATGCTCAGTCTGTGCCCAGCGACAAAATACGACTATCCAACACACTTTGTTTATGTAGCTCGGACTCCTGTCGAGTATACATGCCTGGAGTATAGGTATAGTTCATTTAAAAGAAATCGAAGTGTCTCAAATTAGTTCAAAAGCATGCAGTTGTCAAAAATATCTTGGTGGCTATTGAACATATTGTGAGTTAGTACGTGGATATTTGTGCATAAAGTCATTGTTCACTGGGTACGTTATTTGTATATATTTTTTACGGCTATAAGTGCGTATTTGTTAATTTTTAATGTAAATCAACTGAGTACTATCACTGCGAGCTTAATGTCTACATAATTTTTGCTAATGTAACCCGTTTACCAAATTCATGGATTTTAATCCGGCTTCAAACCACTTTCTGTGTATGGTTTAGTGGTACCAGTAAGCCGTCCAAACCTAAGTGTATCGGGATTCAAAACAGAAAGAAGCTGGTTGGAAGCTACCACGTGATGTTTAAGTTTTCAGAACTGTTCACAAAAGTAATATGTATACATTGCTGATAAGTTTGAAGGTAGGAAAATCAAGTCAAATTTAATAGATTGCTACCAAACAATAGTAGCGATTTGCGTCCTGATGATACGTGGTTTCTTGTTAAAAGACAGCTACTGGCGCGGTAACTATCAATGGTAAGGAAGCAGAAATAGTCCGTTATTTAACTTACTCTCCAATTATTTAGGCTTTTTCAAGATCAACTATTAAGTTGCGCTTAGTGAAACTGTATTGTCATTACTATTATAATTAAACAACAACTCATCGCAGTAATTGGTAGAACATTTGGTGGCAACGTAATTAGTCTATTACTGTACTTCAGTTGTATCCAGTTTAGACATTTTATACAAAGCACCGTAATGTATTTTGTTAAATGAATTTAGTAACGGCTTGATAAAAATTTACTTTAATCTTCCAACGTCAGTTGTCTCAGTCAGTCAGTCAGCTGCAACGTAGGACCAGGCACGTATATGCATCGGTCCAAGTTGCCATACCGCATTAGCACAACAAGATGAACACCGGATTCATAGAAGTAGTCAATTCAGTGGTGGTAATATGTAGAAGAAAGATTGCATATAAGGAGATAGTACAGGAAGAAAGAATTAGTTCCTAGAAAGAAAGATATGAAGCGATTTTAATCTCTTAGTTTAAAGGAAGATAGAGAGTGTATACACCGACGCCATTGTGATCGATTCTGAGCCATGTCACTAAGAGTCTCCAACCATTGGTTACGATAGTCACGCGAACCCCAACCAGGTAGTCTGCATCTACCAACATGGCTCAGACCAGAAGTTAGTGACTTCAAGCACTGTTAGAATGAGTCCACAAGGCAACCATAAACGTACATTTAATGGTTGTTAACACTTATCAACAATGAACTTGTCATATTTGGTTAAAAAATTATTCTGTTTTAGATTTGAAATTCTATTGTTTACCGTCAGACATAAAAATTCCCACCAGTGACTTCATTATATTTCAAAGTTTCTCATCAGCCACATATGGTATTCTATAGGACGATTTTGTTTTTAATCTTATTCTCGATTTAAGTTTACCCAAGGGTCAGAATGTATGGGATGTCAGTGTGTTGGATAGTTCCATTTTATGAGTCTTAATCACTTGAACCTGACTGTAGCTAATACCTTGACATAGTGGTTGGACTTGTCTATCGTGGTGTTGACTGTAACGCTCATTGCTTTAGGTTTTAACATGACAGACAGGTCGGTTTAAGAAAATCATTAAGTAAAAAATAAAGTTTCAAATGCGGACTCGTACTGCTGTGTATACTAAGGTGCAATAGTTGCAATGTATTCCCCTCAAACAATCGGCGATAGTACATTTTGACAACGGAAGGAAGGGGTTAGAATTGATCAACCCTAAGAAACCTACGCTTCATCTTGCCCGTGGCTTTCAGCTGCCAGAGGTAAGACCTTTAGGATACAGGGCTGGTGCACCAACTCGGTAGAAAGCTATAAGGAGTTGGCCTTGAGCAACTGTATCTTGGACACAATGGATACGCCATCACGTCATGACCACTCCTTATCTAGTTCCTTTGTTGGGACCCTCGAAAAGAAGTTTCACTAAAATTACTGTATTGGTCTTCTAATTTAACATTATAATTAATTCCTTTGATCTTGCGATCATAATACTGTATCAGTTATTTTGTTTCGTTTTCTTTCTATTTTAGATTGTAGGAATTCTCTTTGATCATCGGACTTGCGGAATGATACTTTGTTATTCAAGGCTACCTGTTCACAAAATCATGACATTAAAATAGATGGATTGTGTGTTTTTCTTGTTAGGACAGGATAAAACTCGGTATATTACCGTAATTCAACGTAGCATTTATGTGGTATTTGTACAGAATAACATTCTTTTGTACTTATTTAGTGTGATATTCTTTCAGTGTGATACTTAGCATTTTTTTGCATTAGTTTACTGTAACATTTGCAAATCTTGGCAGTTTGCATAATTCCACTTTTTATTCCTACTATTTTAGTATTGATTTTTGTTGACGATTCTTTCAAACAAAATACTTATTTGTTATCAGTCAGTTTTTTTTCTCGTATTTTTAACAAATCTGTGTTTCTCCTTGTCTGAAGTACCGGTTTTCTGCGGTTGTATCAACTAGCAACGGTGATGGGATTTCAACCTACAAAGGGAAAACCCCAACAGATTATTAACACTCCTTGAAAAAACGTTTTAATGATTTGTGGCTCTTGGTGATAGTTATGTGCTTATTTTTGCTTTGTGTAAGATATTTTCATCTAATCCAATGAACATGATAATTACTTGTCTTAGAATAATAAGAAGTGAATATAATTAGATTAGGTAGCTAGGTGAGCATCAAAATTCCAGAGTCTTTAATTAGATTGATAATTTCAAATATTCGTAGTTATGCTTATACTACGAATAAAAAAATAAATTTGTTGTTCACTACTGTGTTTAGAAATGTAATAGTTGAGAAAAAACCAGTTCACAGTGAATAGTAAACTCTTAAGGTAATTTCGATGTCTGTTTATTTTCACTACATGCGATGTTTATTTATTAACAAACTCATCTGTAGCTTCTTAATCTTTAGCCTGTCAATTTATTTCTACTTAGATCTCATTTAAAGTTAGCGTATTTAAACATTCAATCGTTTGGTCAGTGAGTAGTGATCAATGTCATGTTTGTTTAGTTCTCTAGTGATAATTAAATCCTATTGATCAAGTTTGAAACGTAATATAAAAACTTGTTCAAAATTATATTCATCTCATGAATCGGCGTGAAAAATCAACCCAAGCCCTTGTTTGAACTGATACAAAGAACACTTATGAGACCCTTGGATGTATCATTATAGTCTTACCTCTTGTATTGTACGTATTGTTCCAGCTACATTTCTTACCTGGATTTTGAGGACAACCGTTACAGAATAGTGATAAGATGGAAAGAAAAGTCAATTTTCGATTGATTTACTCGTTATGAGTTTTGTTCAACATTACTTCCGTTCTGATTCAATGTGATGATCATCCAGTGTAATAATTGTTTTGTTTTCTCGTATAATATTTTTTTCTGTATAATATACTATATTCTTGTATTCCATTGACTATGAACTATACTCAGCATATGATATGTTATAACTAAGTATTTTTCATATATGTGATTTCATTCTAATTATTAATCAAAATGGATGTACAATCAATATATAAACAAGTGTATTTTTGACTGTCGTCGTGTTTTGGGGTTAATAAATTTTCACTTAAACCAGTCTTTGTGTTCTTACATTCACGTCGTGGGAATTGCAGAGGTCTCTCGTTTCGAGTATAAATGAGTTTCCGATACAATAGCGACGATCAGATATAAGAAACAGCATTCAACTGACAAGTCATAACAAATAGTGTTAGCCGAAGTATTATATGATAAACTAAATGTGAGATGTATACCATCATGAGTTGAAGTGGGAATACTGGTTACCAAGTGGTTACAAGTTGCACTGTGGCCGCTAGTCTCACTGACTTGATGTATGATTAGCGGCCAATCAGCTGTAAAAATATCAGCCCGGCAGGGGGTCGATTAGCTGGACAATAATAAATTAGACTGGTAAACTAAGTGATGCATATTCAAACCACACAGGAAGCACCAATCTCCTCAAGATTTCAGGTATAACTTGATGATAAAGTTTAACCAATATGAAATCTAAGTTCAGAATTTATTGCCAACTACGTTTAACGATGACTCCGCCTGTAGCTCTTCTAGGGTTACCGTTGATCCCAAGCCTGGGTAAAGGAGGAGGGTTGGTTATAAGGCCAGCAACCCTATCCCGTAGGAAACCTTATTAAAAAGCTAACCAGAATAATAAGCCTTTTAACGATATGGCACTCAGCTCTATACATACAAGAAGAAGAAGAGTATAGTCAAGTTATTAGTTTTATAGTTGATTGTAGTTAATCTGAATCACATGAGATACGAAGTTACGTTTTTGTTCAGAAAATAAGTTCCAAACATTGTAAGTGATATTTATAACTAAATAAGATATAAATATGACTGACCTGATTATGAAAAAAAATGAACACAAAATGCATATATCCAAGTACACAACGCAAGTTGTAGAAAAAACGACAACCATTGCTTAATGTAGACTATGAAAAAGAGAAAATCCTTTGTAATTCGGATCATTATAGTAAAGAAATTGATCGTGATGTTTGTAAGAAAATATGTCCTCCTAGTGTATTTTGAATAGAAAAGAAAATCAAATATTTGGTTCAGATAAAATGAATTTCTGGATATTGTCTACTGTCATGTATATTTAATCTGTAGGCGATAGAGTTCCGAGTCGATTTCTCTGAAAAAAACAAACAAATATTTCTGATCAGGGAAAGGTGTACAATTTTGTGGATTTTTAAACTATGTATGGCTTCATTGGTAAGTTGGAGTCACACACGGAATGTTTTAATTTGTTACGTTTTTATAATAATCCTGTCAGAACATTCCTCTTTTACGCTTGTTCAATCTGCTCCCTCTGGGCTTTCATTGTTGAGTGACTGTCTCCGACCGTCGTTGTCTTTAGGGGATCGGTCATACCTAATAGCGTAATCCCATGCAAGTAATATTGGGGTTCGGGCATGAAAGAGTTAGAAGTATGTGTTCGACTACATCCATCATATATTTGACATTGGGACTGGGTCAAAAAGGCTAATAGGTGGTTAGTTTATAGTACTGTAGCATAGAATAAAGGATTATTATGTTAGGTTAACATTTGTCAGCTGCTCACAGTTCAATATCGTGTAACCTAGCTGCTCAGAACGTTCCTAGATATGGCTTTAAGTAGGAGCTAACGGTGATTTTGTTGTGGCTTACCCTTCGTAAGTAGTAGAATATCTCTTTTAACAGAATAAAACCCACCTTGATTATGTACTTACTCAAATGGTATAATTCACTAGTATTATTCTACTTTTCTTTCTTTCTTCTGAATGTCTAGTTCTCTCTCTCTCCTCAATATTGTCACTTCATTTTGTGTACTATATTTCCTAGTGCTCTATTATACCAAGCTTGTTTCCTGTGTGTCAACTATGATAATAAACTTCGAAATAATAAAGGAACGGGATTGTGAAAAATGATAATATTGCGGAACTGAAATGATGATGAATAATAAGAAAACTTATGGGCACGTAACCTGACAAGTTGGTAACTACCCACATGAGTATGATTAATCAGTGATTCCATGTATTAACTTGTTTACACAAAAATGTGTAGAAATCCAACTCCGAATGTCACTGGCAATCGAGTTATGTAGTTCATGTTTCACTGCAAGTGAAAAATTGATACTTGTATCATCTTAAAGTTAAAGATTAACTGTTAGGATTCTCGTTCCCACTGTGGTAATCGTGATTTGATTAGGTCCGTACTGGCGTAGTTCAGTAGTTAAGAAATCAAAGATATAAATGGGGTATCACGTTTTCTAAACCCATTGCAATAATTTATTTTCAGTAGGACATGCTGCCCAACTATTCTTGGACAGTTAGTTCTAATCATTTTCTGGAGTCATTTTAACATACGAATCTACTGAGTTCCACAATTTTTGTTGCAAACTTTCACCCTTCTGCCTTGCTGTAAATAACATTCTCGTAGTCTGGATTTTCAGGAATTGATCACATTTCGGAAGACCTACTTAATTACTTACAATACGCAGATGGCATAGTCCTATTTGGTGAATACGCTGATAAAATGCAGTTTTTTGGTAACACTGATCAACAATGCCATAATATTTGAAATACGTTTCTTCCTCTCTAAATGCGAATTGTTGCTTCAGGACTGGCCCGCGCCAACAGCTAAACTGAGGATATGGAGTGAATTAGTCAAATGCGTCGACAACTTCATTTGTCTTGGAAGTCTGATTAGCCCTAATGGGTTGGTGTCTGAAGAAATCTCTGCACGGATTCAAAAGGCTCGTCCGACTTTTTCCAGCTTACGTCACCTATGGCGAAGGCGAGATATCCGTCTATCAATTAAAGGACGAACATACTGCTCAGCAGTTCGTTCTGTTCTACTATACGGCTACGAAACGTGGCCTTTAAAGGTGGAGGATATTTGTAGCTTACTAGTACTTGATCACTGATGTCTTAGAAATATTGCTCGCATCTGCTCAGAATACCGAATAAGTATGTCCAACAACTAATTAGTATTGGAGACTGGCGGAAGAAAGTTTTGGGGCTGCCAAACCAAAACGTGACATCAGTTCATAAAGTCATATTGGTAGATGTAGACTAAATAAGAAAGATTAGCTCAGCGAAGAGTTCTCTATTCGGCGACTTGGTTGGGGTTCGCGTGACTATCGTAGCCGGTGGTTGGAGACCTTGGGGCACATGGCTCAGAACTTATCGCAATGGCGTCAGTTTATACACTTTTTGTCTTCCATTAAACCGTGAGATTGAAATTGCTTTATATCTTTCTTTCCACGAACTAATTCTTCCTCCCTGCATCATATTCTTATATACAATCTTTCTTTTGTATATTACTACCACTGAAGTATCCGCTTCCATGAATTTGGTTATCATCTTATTGTGACAATGAGGTGTGGCAACTTGGACCGATGCATATATGTGCCTAGTCTTTCGTTGTGGATGACTGAATGGCTCTCGAAGTTGAGTTTCTGTATCGAAATGTTAAAAATAGTACTTCCAAGTATTATTCTACTTTTACTCATCATGTGTAACGGAGTTTTAAGTCGACCTTTGTAATTTAGATTATTATTTTTTTGCGTAGTTCGTATAATTGAAAAGTGGAGTTAATCTACAT